TTGTTTATACTTGTGATGAAGGGGGAAATCACTTCTTTATATATTTCTTTTCTTTTTCTTTACTATATTCTTTTTTTCTTTTCTATTTTTCTTTTTACTTTTCTACACATTCTATTTTTTCTTTTTATTCCTTTATTTTCTTTAGTTTGTATTTTTATTCTTGTAAATCTTTAATAAAAATATTAAAAAAAAAGAAAGCTAAGCAATAATGAGGCCAGGCTAAATGGCTAGAGTCAGAGCATTCATTATTATTGGTGCCATCACACAGAAAGTATTTAATTAAACTAAAGTGGAAATGGCCAGGATATGAATAACATTAGAGAAATCTAATTAAAACTCTACAGTGTCTTGCCACAAAGTCCAACAGAGAGATGGGGGAGGGGGAAAATATGTAACTGGTCTATAGTAGATCTGAGAGTTAAGGAAATTTGTTTGGGTGAAGGCAGTTCTTAAGATGCTCTAGCATGTGGTTGTTTAGACTTTAAAGTCATAACAGAACTTTGATAGAGGAAGCAGATGAGACATTCAATGTAGATGGAAGTGGAAGTGTCAGACTTGGAGGGGTGTGGTATGGCAGGTGTGCTAGACAGAAATATATTTTTCCTATGGTTTGCTGTTTGGGTTAGTGAACAATAGAGGAGGAGGAAGGATTGTGTCCATTGGGTTTATCAGTAAAAATTTTCCAGCAGACATGTGGTGAGGGGGTTTATTCTTTGCCCTGTGTAGTTATAAATGTGTACTTCTTATAATATTTGATCTACATCTAATTTGAATCATTATTTGTGAGTATTCTCTTTTAAACCAAAGTATCTATTCCTTTCAGATTATAAATTCATTTGGAGGTAAAAGCGTAAAAAGCTTGTTTCCTTAAAAGCATGATTCTTTAGGTTAGTTTATGATAATATTCAGACTGGGCAAATTATGATTAAGGTTAAATCCCAAACCAAGATAGGAACTCAGTTTACAAACTACAGCTGAATCTAGAACTAATCATAGTTCTTGATTCATACAAGATGGAAAATTGTGGTTGGGGTTTTCTGGAAATTAAGGAAGTCACTGATGTGCTGAAATAGAGAAACAAATATACAAACCTGTAATACAGTGCCAGTCCTATAGATGGTGGATTCTAATATTGTCTAAACTAAGCCAGTGTGAGGATCTTGTCTGAAGGCCGTGTGCATTTGCCAGAGCAATCTAAGTAACAGAGAGAGAGAGAATTGCTTTTAAATGATAAACATCATTTGGTAGGCAGATGCTCACCCAGCATGAAAAGAGCCAGAAAATCAAATCACTTCAACATTTTTTTTTAAAAAACCTCAGTTCTGATTATAATATTTATGTTTCAGCAAAGAACTCGTTTCAGCAGAGCAAAGCAAAAGTCATATTACCACTGAACTAAGGAAAAAGGAAGAGCAATTGTCCACATATGAAGAAAAGCTTTTCGATGTCTGTGGAAGTCAAGATTTTGAAAGTGATCTTAATAAACTGCAGCATGAAATTGAAAAAACATCCAAGCAACGAGGCAAGTTTATATGACTCCTTCCCACTCCCATAGGATACATCTGATTCTTTCTTATAAACTTGTTTATACCAGTAACTGGTAAGCTTCAAAATAATATCAGGAACTGCATTCATAGTAGAGCTGGAGGTCAGAATAGAAAAATGGGCAAAGCCATGATGTTTCCCCCCTCATTTTAGGAGATTTATGCAACAGTAATACTGAAACCAAGTAAAGATCCATCAAAGTGTGCAAGTTACCATCTAATACTCTTGTTAAATGTAGGTGCTAAAATCTTGACAGAAACTTAGCATGGATATTCCACACATCTCCTTCCTCAGGAAGGAAATACCATCAGGTTATTCAGTCAATTAGAAAAAATCTTGTGTGCTTCCTACTGGATCACAGGAATCTCTGGACATTTGTAAGGAACGGGAATTTGTCCACTGTCTGAATTGGTATGCTGAGGAAGATAACTTTGTTAATAGTGTACATATTTTAAATTACATTGCACAGGTTAACATTGATATAAGTAGATGGTTAAAAATATCTACAAGTTTATGGGGAACAACAAATGTGGTCAAAATGAGTATCCCTTCTAGATCAATATATATTTTAAGAGGACTCAGTATGTTAATTGCTGCCTGGTATTTTAAATGGATTAACAAGTAGCTAATTTTTATCAAGTGGACAGACACCAAGTTGTCATTCTTTAAACGGAGGCTCTCACACAGGGGAGGGGCATGTAACTTTCTCAATTTTAACTGTCTAATTGGGCTTAAATCTTCTGCTTTTATGAGAAATAAGTAGATGCCATTGTGAGTATCACTAGAAAATTATTTTTGACTCTTGAAAATATGCCAAATGCTTGGTTTTAATTTTTGCTGTCAGTTATTTTTTCTTTTTCTAAAGACAAGGAGATAGATTTGGAAGATTTTGGGATGGTTTAACTTTGATACTGGTTCTCATGAGAAATTGACCTTTTAGCATAGCACTAACTTAAAAATGGTGGATAATATCTTTTTGGGGAGAACTTGAGTAGATAAAGAAATTAATGTTATTTGTTGTTGTTTAGTCGTTAAGTCGTGTCCGACTCTTCGTGACCCCATGAACCATATTGCGCCAGGCCTT